CCGGGAACAGCAGGAATAGCACCGGGAACAGCACCGGGAATAGTGCCAGGAACAACGGGAACAGCACCGGGAATAGTGCCGGGAACACCGAGAACAGCGCCAGGAACAACAGGAATGCCACTGGGAACAGCACAGGGAACAGGGACGGAATCAGGCACCGGGAACAGCGGGAACAGCCGGATCCGGGATGGAATCGGGAACAGGAACAACGGGATGGGAGAGTGACAGGAACAGAGGGAACAGCGGGAATGAGACGGACACACGGACATGGACACACGGACACACGGACACAGGGACACATGGACACACGGACACACGGACACACACGGACACATGGACACACAGATACACGGACACACACGGACACACGGACACACACACCCCCCCTCTCACCTTCAGGTTCTCCTGCATCTGGCTGGGGAAGAACAGGTCCAGCCCCACCTCCTTCCTGCGGAGCACAGAATCCCGGGAATGTCAGCGGGAATTCCCTGATCCCGGGAATGTCAGCGGGAATTCCCTGATCCCGGGAATGTCAGCGGGAATTCCCCATCCCGGGAATGTCAGCGGGAATTCCCCATCCCGGGAATGTCAGCGGGAATTCCCTATCCCGGGAATGTCAGCGGGAATTCCCCATCCCGGGAATGTCAGCGGGAATTCCCCATCCCGGGAATGTCAGCGGTTCCTGTCTTCCTCCCCGAGGATGAGGATGAGGAACACGGACGGGAGCCTGAGGAGGATGAGGAGGATGAGGAGCCACAGGAGGATGAGGAGGATGAGGAAGATGAGAGGCAGCAGGAGGATGAGGTGGATGAGGAGTTGAGGAAGATGAGGAGGATGAGGAAGATGATGAAGATGATGGGGAAGATGAGGAGGATGAGGAAGATGATGAAGATGAGGAAGATGAGGAGGATGAGGAGGATGAGGAAGATGAGGAGCTGCAGAGGATGAGGAGGATGAGGAGCTGCAGAGGATGAGGAAGGTGAGAGGCAGCAGGAGGATGAGGTGGATGATGAGGAGCCACAGGAGGATGAGGAAGATGAGGAGTTGAGGAAGATGAAGAGGATGAGGAAGACGATGAAGATGATGAAGATGAAAAGGAAGAGGAGGATGAGGAAGATGCTGAAGATGATGAAGATGAGGAGGATGAGGAGGATGATGAAGATGATGAAGGTGAGGAGGATGATGAAGATGAGGAGGATGATGAAGATGAGGAGGATGATGAAGATGATGAAGATGAGGAGGATGATGAAGATGACGACGATGATGAAGATGATGAAGATGAGGAGGATGATGAAGATGATGAAGGTGAGGAGGATGATGAGGATGAGGAGGATGATGAAGATGAGGAGGATGATGAAGATGAGGAGGATGAGGAAGATGATGAAGATGATGAAGATGGTGAAGATGGTGAAGATGAAGATGTGGATGATGAAGATGATGAAGATGAAAAGGAAGAGGAGGATGAGGAAGATGATGAAGATGGTGAAGATGGTGAAGATGAAGATGAGGATGATGAAGATGATGAAGATGAGGAGGATGAGGAAGATGATGAAGATGAGGAGGATGAGGAAGATGATCAGGATGAGGAGGATGAGGAGGATGAGGAAGATGATGAGGATGATGAAGATGATGAGGATGATGGAGATGAGGAGGATGAGGAAGGCCCTCAGCAGCCCCCCCAGCCCCTCGGGGCTCCGGGGCTGGACTCACTCCAGGAACTCGAAGTTGGATTTCTTGTCCAGCGCGTTGTGGGGCATGTCCTTGTAGAACCTCCTGCGGGACACGGGGACATCGGACCGGGACACGCGTGTCACCTGTCCCTGGTGTCCCCGTGTCCTGGTGACATCCTCCATGTCCCCGTGACCCTCCATGTCCCCATGTCCCTCCATGTCCCTCCATGTCCCTCCATGTCCCTCCATGTCCCTCCATGTCCCTCCATGTCCCTCCATGTCCCTCCATGTCCCTCCATGTCCCTCCATGTCCCTCCATGTCCCTCCATGTCCCTCCATGTCCCTCCATGTCCCTCCATGTCCCTCCATGTCCCTCCATGTCCCTCCATGTCCCTCCATGTCCCTCCATGTCCCTCCATGTCCCTCCATGTCCCTCCATGTCCCTCCATGTCCCTCCATGTCCCTCCATGTCCCTCCATGTCCCTCCATGTCCCTCCATGTCCCTCCATGTCCCTCCATGTCCCTCCATGTCCCTCCATGTCCCTCCATGTCCCTCCATGTCCCTCCATGTCCCTCCATGTCCCTCCATGTCCCTCCATGTCCCTCCATGTCCCTCCATGTCCCTCCATGTCCCTCCATGTCCCTCCATGTCCCTCCATGTCCCTCCATGTCCCTCCATGTCCCTCCATGTCCCTCCATGTCCCTCCATGTCCCTCCATGTCCCTCCATGTCCCTCCATGTCCCTCCATGTCCCTCCATGTCCCTCCATGTCCCTCCATGTCCCTCCATGTCCCTCCATGTCCCTCCATGTCCCTCCATGTCCCTCCATGTCCCTCCATGTCCCTCCATGTCCCTCCATGTCCCTCCATGTCCCTCCATGTCCCTCCATGTCCCTCCATGTCCCTCCATGTCCCTCCATGTCCCTCCATGTCCCTCCATGTCCCTCCATGTCCCTCCATGTCCCTCCATGTCCCTCCATGTCCCTCCATGTCCCTCCATGTCCCTCCATGTCCCTCCATGTCCCTCCATGTCCCTCCATGTCCCTCCATGTCCCTCCATGTCCCTCCATGTCCCTCCATGTCCCTCCATGTCCCTCCATGTCCCTCCATGTCCCTCCATGTCCCTCCATGTCCCTCCATGTCCCTCCATGTCCCTCCATGTCCCTCCATGTCCCTCCATGTCCCTCCATGTCCCTCCATGTCCCTCCATGTCCCTCCATGTCCCCATGTCCCCCACATGTGCCACCTCTCCCCATTCCCATCCCCATCCCCTGGGACACCTGGGGACACCTGGGGACACACAGGGAACACACTGGGGCACACAGGTGACAGCTGGGGGCACACAGGGGCACGCAGGTGACACCTGGGGACACTCAGGTGACACTTGGTGACACTTGGGGACACAACGGGGCCGTACCTCAGCTCGAGGCAGCCCAGCTGCAGGGCCATGCCCTCGCTGACCTTGCTGGCGTAGCTCTGCATGTACTCGCTGCGCACCTGGGGACAGCGGGAACACTCAGGGGACACTCAGGGGACATCGG